TCCCCGGAGTGCGAATCTTCTCGACATCATGACGCGTCTACGGGGCCGTGCATCGCTAATGGTCGTCGCGACGATCAGCTTCATCCTGCTGGTTGTCATATACCACATACTGAGTAACGAGATCGACGAGATGTCATCGGGCAAAATTGGCACGCGTCTGAGAGCCGAGGATGTGTATCCACCAGGTGAACTCATGGACAGCCCTCAGGGTGCTGCCAGAAAGCAGCTAGTAGATGGGCAGATAACGGGTGATTTGAAGAACGGTAGGAATAAACTGGTTAACGAATTAACTCACTATGATAAATCGTTTTGCAGACGGCACTCCACTGTTCAAGGGCCATAAGATCGTCCACCTAGATCTGAAAGGCGCCCCGCCGAAGATGAGCTACTATAGCTATCTGTTCCCTCTGCTGCGAAAGTTAGGAGCCACTGGCGTGCTCGTGGAATACGAGGACATGTTTCCCTTCGCTGACAGCATCGAAGACATACACGCCGGCAACTCTTACTCCAAGAAGGACATTGCGCAGATTCAAAATATAGCCAGGAACAATCAATTAATCGTCATACCGTTGATACAGACTTTTGGTCACATGGAGTTTGTTCTTAAATTGGACAAGTACAAAGATTTCAGAGAAGTTCCACATTATCCGCAAGTCTTGTGCCCTACGTACAACAAAACACTACCATTGATCTTTGAAATGATAAACCAGGTCGTATCAGCTCATCCGACATCTAAATATTTACATATAGGTGCGGACGAAGTATATCAGATAGGAGAATGCTCAAGGTGTTTAGACGTTATGGCCAAAAGACAATGGAGCAAACGACAGTTGTTCCTGGACCATGTCTCTGCGGTAGTTAAGTACATCAAAGAGAAATACCCAGAACTGACTGTACTTATGTGGGATGATGAATTCCGTGATATATCGCCACAGGAGATCATTGACAGGGGCCTCCACTCGATGGTAGAACCAGTTATTTGGAAATACACCACCGATCCTGGCATGACGCTAACGGATCAGCTGTGGGAAAGTTACGCTGCCGTGTGGAAAGAAGTCTGGGTTGCGTCAGCATTCAAAGGAGCCACTTCGCCGGATAAATATTATACAGACATTTCGTATCACATGGAGAACCATCAACGTTGGTTGGAAATCATTCAGAAATACTCAAACCAAATCACATTCAAGGGTGTCATGTTGACTGGATGGCAGAGATACGATCACTTCAGTGTCCTTTGCGAATTACTGCCAGTGGGATTACCATCTCTCGCCATTAATTTAGCTATATTACAAGCCTCAGATGTAAACGTCTTTCCTGTAGAATTACCCGATCGTATATCTGAAGCTTTACAATGCGATGGTATAATCTCGTTAAGCATACCAGAACCACAATACGGCTGGACCAAATGCAGTTTCCACGGAGTATCGGTATACGCAGCTATTTTACGTCTTTACTCTCTTACACAGGAAATAATGAAAATGGAACAGGATAATACCTATAAAGGATGGTTAAAACCATACAACATTAAATATTCCTTCGCGAGTCCTAGTTACGTCGAACGCGCGGTTACTGATTTGGACAGATATAAAATGGAAATAATATATATCGAAAAAGAGATGCGTACAGCTATGGAAGATATTTATGACGATTATACAGTACAAGAATGGCTTGAGACATATGTCGCACCTATAAACGAAAAGCTCAATCAGTTATGGGAAATTAAGGAGAAACTTTTAGAGAGAAATACATGGCCAAAGAGACCTCTCACAAAATCTGATTTATAGTATAAAACGGCAGTTTCTTGGAATAAATAAGCGAAAATATTCATGTTCTTTATGGTATAATATATAAGAGACTGAAATTTTTATTACAATAATACGAGAAAAAGAACGCGAAATTTTTCGCGAATAATTGCGAAAATTTTTTAGCAATTATTTTTTAAAAACGGCGTGGATAATCAGTGAAATGTAAAAATTTTGAACTCGTAATTTTACATCTTGAACAATTGCTGTACAGAATATGTGATAATATGTAATTTGATAAGGAAGTAATCAAATCAGAATTGCACCGTCCGTATAAATTAGTAAATCTTATTTATCTTGATGGAAATAATTGCATTGTTTATAGTAGAAATAATGAGAGATATTTTTTACTTATGTCGCAAATTTAGATGAACCATTTACGTACATATATTGATATTATTCTTTTCTTCCAAAAAATACTCCACAAAGCAAATCAATACACTGATAATATTCTAGATGATTTACAGAAATAGACGGTGTATAAAGATAGTAATCTATTGAGGTATATGTACGTGTGTGTGTGTGTGTGTGTGTGTGTGTGTGTGTGTGTGTGTGTGTGTGTGTGTTGTGCGTGTATGTATATCTGTAGAACATATATATATATTAAACAAAGCAATATAATTTTTCAGCATTAGAATAAATAATTTATTGTTATTTTATTAGCTTGTATTTATAGGTGTTTCTCAAATCTGATCTCAAGAGCATATCAGGCGAGATATTCAAAGTGGAGTTTTATATATCTTGAGATACAAACAATTCAATGGTCATGTCTTAATTAGAAATCGATTGAAACTGTAGATATTTATCTGAAAAGAGGAACGATTATTCATAACTCAAATAATATAATATTAATATATACATAAGTACATGTAAGTTATAATATGCACTTTAACATAAATATTATATAATTTTTTCTTTTCAAATCATGTCCACATTTAAATGACACACAATTTTTCTCGATTTAAGAATTAATTAATACAAATTTTAAAGTTTGTTAATATGTATTACAAGATCTTCCTTCAAAACTTTACTATTAAATTGTAAAAAATAAGATAGATTATACCTTGAGACAAATTTCATCCCAGTTTCTTACTTGAATCACAATTATAAATGGGAAAGTAATATGAATATCGAACAAAAAGGGTCTGTTTTTGCACTGTTTAAATTATAGTGTATACGATGCAATAAATTGGAGTGAAACAAATATATATTTGTTACGATGCAATAAATTGGAGTGAAACAAATATATATTTGTTTCGTTTCAGCAAGCAGAAACACAACTATAAATACAAGCCTCAATGCTAGATCTCAAATCGTTTCTTAGAGATTTAAAAAATTATTATATATTAAATATATATACAATATACATGTACATATAATGTATATTATATATATACACGTAACATATATATGTATGTGTATTGTATATTTATATACATGTATATGTATATTTTATGCGCGCGCACGCGCGTGTGTGTATACGTAACATGCGCACTCTTATATAACATGGGACTATATAAAGTTAGACTTTTCCCAATCATGTACGCACAAAATGCCCTCTATTTGTCTTCTGATTATAAATGAATCTACAACAGATAGAATTCGGTTAGACACACCGCTGATGCACTGATGCATATATTATAAATTTATAAGCCGTTGAACATAGTGATTTTTAGATGTAAAGTAAAACACAAATATTTTAAATTATATAAGACATATTTTATCTGACAACAATTAAGAATTATATAATGTTTATTGTAAACGTAATGAATTTAAAAAAAATAATTTAGTATTGAAAATGTCATGATTTGATCCGTTTTTATGTTTATATTAAATACATATTATCTTTACGTTAATTTATGTATGACGGATTTAATTAGTTGCATCAATGCATTCTAGCAAAATATCTAACTGAAAAATTGCTAAAAGTTAATTTAATAACATTTTACAGGAATGTTTAAAGAAAAGACGTTGACAACTTAAATTATGTAATATAAATGTTGATTTACGCGTGTTAACGCGGTATCTGCGGTTTTAATAAGAGCAAAAATTCGTGCCATATAGACAGATAATTGCAATATGGTATGTCCCAATTAGATAAATTTTTTAAAGATAAAAGATTATTATACATGTGATTGAATTGAAGGCTTTTTATAAAAGACGACAAATGAGAATAGTTTTCAATTAAAAAATATCTACATATACATGACACTGTAAAAATTATAAGTGCTACTAGTAAGCATTATTTGTAATTATAAAAGAGATAATACGAAGTACCTTAGAAATCATTCTTTTAATATTTACAAAAATATATCGTTTTTATTTAAAAAAGAGAGAACATAAAAAACTTCTTTATCTGAAGTTTTTGTTATTGTTATATCGACTTTGCGTCTGACTGCTTTTCGATGAATGAAGCTTGTAACATATATATATATAATTTAGAAAATCTTCCTAGTAGTTTTGAATTCTTCCGTAAATTACTATTCATATTATATATATATAGTATATGTGTGTGTGTGTATATATATATATATACACACACATATACACATATTTGTATTATTTCATACGCTTTGTTATTATTATTTTCTACTAATTATTACTATTATAAAAATATTTTTAATGTTGTTATATAAATAATATATTGCGCGTGTAACTATTATTACAACTAACGAGATGTGATTAATAAAATCTGTTTTTCAATCTAGTAGACAAATTCTGTGGTCATGTTTATCTGTTGGTCCCACACTACGTAAATATTCATTCATTCGATGACTTAACATTCCAAAGTCGGGATGCGACCTACAATTTAATGCCGGTTCCGAGCAAAGGTTTTCTTGGCAATAGATACTTTTGGTGGTTTGCGAGATCACCGAAGAGGAGCTACGAGCACATGAAAATTTCTTAGATCTGCCGGAGATCGAACCCAAGTTTCTTATTGTATGGTACTGTGACCCTTTATATTAGGCCAGAAATCATAAGCAAGGGATTTAAAAAGAACCCGAGTCCCCTAGCATGGTAGACTTGAGCGCTGTCCATGCTACGCTCGTACTATATATGATAAATATAATTTTTATACTTTCAGCTATACAATGTATATTTTAAATGCAATATATATTATATACAAATTTGGTACATTCACTGATTCATACAATCGTAAAAAATACATTCTTAACATTATGTATTTTGTTTGTCGTTATGAACACGTACTTAAAAATAAATAAAATTTATATATAACGTTATTGAAAAATATCTGATGATTATCATTGTAGTGCACACACTGTAGATTTCGAAGCAGGGAAACGGGGATGAAACGCAAGTGGAAATTGCTTTTTAGTAGGAAACCTTTTGACGACTTTGTGTATTGAATTTATATCTACTGTGTCACCAATTTCAGCGATAATGATAGGCTTATGAAAATCTTGATCCGTTCTTGTTAATCGAACACCTAAAACTTGAGCTGCCAAACCTGCTATGCATAAAGATACCTGAAAGTACAGTAAAAGTTTATAGCCTGTATTGATATTAATAAAATATTGATAAAAATACATATATATACAAATAAGGCTGTTTGATAAAAATTTCCTCTGTTCGAATACTTTCTGCACTTAGTATATATTATATATACATATATATATATTTTTTTTTTAAATTACCGCTTCTCCAGTTCTTGCAGACATATCATGATAAGGATATCCGTTTTCCGCGGCAAATCGATGCGACCTGTCTCTCTTAACTGTCCTTTGATGTTCCATGTCACATTTATTACCTACTACCGCTATCAGAGGTATTTCGTCGTAAGCTTCAATGAAACTTTTGATTTTACTGAGCCACTCGTCCAAAATGTCGAAACTGGAGCTATTCGTTACGTCGTATACCAAAAGAATGATCTGATTCATAAATATACATCCAGTTTGCAATAACGTATATGTATATTGTATTATCGTAACGCACAAGAGACATGTCGAAATTAAATTAATAAAAATAAATAAAATAAAATTAATTTAATGAATTTAAACAATGAAATAAAATTACGATCTTACGTGTGCTCCGAAAACGTATTTATCCAACATGTTGCCATGCAGAGCGAGCCCGCCGACGTCCCATAAATGTAGATTGACATTTTTATAGCTGCCGATGCTGATGTTCTTGAGAAAAAAGTCGATGCCTGCGGTGGGTATATACTGCCTCGTGAAATCGTTGTTGCAAAACTTTTGAACGATGCTGGTCTAAAAGAGAATCCTTGAATTTCAATTATCAAGAATAACAGGCATCATAGTAGTAATAAAAATTGTCATTGACAACCTAAATGATATGACAGCCGTACAATAATTGCTAAACGAGAAATGAAAATTGCAGTTAAAACGAAAAATCATTTACTTGTTGTGTGCCACAAATGATCATCGACCCGCTTAATTTTTATAATCACAGTTTATTCTTAATGTACTTATTGTTCTTGAAAAATTTATAACGATTAAAGGAATCGCCGCATTGATAGAAGTGATACAAATAAAAAATTAGCATCTATTTTAGATAATGAAATTGATACATTAAAAATTAATGTATTTTTATGGAAAAAGGACTTATTTATAACTTACTTGCTTACATAGAAAAGTGTCACAATTCTGATGAAGAATAAAACTTACTGTTTATATATTTATAATATTAGGATTGCAATATTCAAATTTTGAAAATTTACATAAACTGATTTAAAGAATACATTATAATTGAAAATCTAACACAGAAAAGAAATAAAATTGCAGAAATTACATATTTACTATTTTAATTATTATAAAATGTTGTTCCAACTCAGAATTTTAAAATATATGCTGTATAGAGGGGTAATTAATTTTGAGGAAAGTATATAATATTTAAAATGTATGATTACCTCAATTTATATACTTTATTAAATTGTTCAATATATTTATTTTAATAATTAATTATTGTTATCAGAGAATACGTATAATAGAAATTCATATTTTTTGTTCAGCTTGAGTGCAAATTTTATTGATACAAAGGCTTTTATTATTGTTTTAATAATCAAGGTCTTTGTATCAATAAAAATATATGATACATGAATTAATTACTTATGTTAGAGAGAGTGACAGCCCGATAGATTTTAATTGAATCAACAGCACTTTTTTCTCAATGTAATCTATCGTTTTAAATTAATTACAATATTTATTATACGTAAATACATATAGACGAAAACGAGTGTATTTGCATAGCCGCATAAATGTATGCATAAAACAATCATCTAATTACATTTCATTATAAAAACGTATGTAAAATGAATATAGTTTTATGAATGAATTTGTGAATTTATGAATAAAATTAAATAATTTTCTTTATATATACGTTTATGCGATTATGCAAGTTTAGATAGATTCTAAACCAGCGAACAGCTTTTCAACACTGTTTTGCATTGCAATGGAGTGGAGTTGGGGGGAAGGGAGGTGAAACCGTCAACTTTCCTTCGCTGCATGAAATTACACCTTAATAGTATGCGATAAATTGTAAGATTGAATTTTATGTTGAATAAGTAAGAGAGTAGAAATTGTGCCAAAATGTACAATATACGAATTTATCCTGAATCACGCAAAAAATATTGCGCGCGATCTTTTTTCCTCGTGACGTTTGTCATTTCGCGGCATACAATTACGAAAAGAAAGCAGAGAATAGCTTCTAAAACTAAAGGTTAATGAATTCATACTTGACCTACATGATTAGTCTCGTTAATGCAAAAATTCATCGATTAGAAAATTCGTTTCTGCCGATTTGCTTTATTGTTCTATCATTATATGGCAAGTTGAGGGATACGATAAACCGCCGAACGTCGCATGTTGCGAAAGTTTCCGCATTGGATCCAGAGGCACGAAGTCGCGGCCGGAGGAGACTTCATCGATTCTAGTTAGCGTATTATAATACATTCATCATTAATCCATATCACACAATACGACCGTACATTTATTACACAGAGAGACATATATAGTTATCACCACGTCAATAAAACTGTAGTAATATTATTATGAATGATACCTACAGCAATTAGACCACGTATATATATAAAGAATCATATAAATATCCGCGAAAAGAATTGTGAACTCATTAACTTCATCGCCCGTCACAGTCGTCACGAAAAGAAAACGGAAATTTATCAAGTATTCTTCGATAACGCAGCCCTCCCTGTCACCTGTTGAGGGATTCTTGCTATAGCATTTTTCACCATGGTGATCGGCAAACAAATTTAAACGGACAGATGCGCACCAATAAATATAGCTCTCGTTAAGTGCCGAGCACCCCGAAACTAGGGATCAATCACCTCTGTCGACCACAAACTATATTCGACAGTCTATACTATACAGTAGTGTGAAATAGAAAAGTCTGCACTCGCAGCATTTTCAAGCGACGCTGACGAAAACTCACTTTGCCAGCACCGGAGTCACCCACGAGCACAATTTTCAGCCGCTTCTCGGCCGATTCCTCTTCAACGTCCGACATTGGGAGATGTGACGAAAATACAGGACGAATTGGCGATAGTCCTCGGTGGTGATCATACGAGCGGCATATAACTCGTCCGTCAGGACGGTCTTCGACTATAATGGCGCGGCATGGAATGTGGCAGTTCGCGTGTTGTGGCCGATGAGGCGAGGTCCGAATCGACCGGCAGTGGTGGCCAGTACGCCGTCGTCGTTGTTGTCGTCTAACTCGCAGTCATGAATAAATTAGCGAATAATCGATAATAGGGAGCCGTGCCATCGCCAACGTGCGTACCTCGCGGTTAGTAGAAGTTTTCGACTTGAAGAGTGATCCTAGAAGGGACAACTTTGCTGAAATATTTCTAAAAATGTATTTAAAAATATAGCTGAGAGACGCAAATCTAAAAAGAATTTTGTTGGATTATCAAAATAATTGTGTGAGACGCTCAAGTATATCGAGCAATGCGGCAATAAGTTTTGACATTTGAGCAACCAGCTTGAATGTCTTATGTAATGTACTATACTTATTTTGATGTTTTTTTACGCAAAATTATTTACAAACTTATTTTAAGATCTTTATGTAACTAAATTTTTAGATATTTTAACAAAACCATTCTTTTCGTATGACGATAATGGTGATGATGATAACGTTGTTGCATAACGTTGTTTTAAGACGACGACGATGTAATTGCGTTTAGTAGAACACACACTTCTCAGTTCTTTACTCTTTGCGCAAGTTTCGATGTTTTTGAACAATTTGAAAGTTGGGAAACAAATGCTGCTCAATGTAAAAAAATTAAATTACAATTTATTTTATGATACAATCTTGTCTTCTTATTAACTGATCTATACACTAATATTGCCGTAAAGAAAATATCGTATTTTGTACAAATATATTGTTTTGTTGCTTTATTTTTAAATACTTTTTCGTATCAGCAAAGTAGCGGTAACACCCATAAAATAATCTGAAAACCTATGGTCAATATGCCTTAATTAAAAATTAGATCCTTATAGTTTTGCAAAAGATAATAATTCGATACTCTGCAACACGTGATGGTTCTCACAACTGTAAGTCGATCGGCTCGCTCGAAATTCGCTTTGACGATTTCGTAGTATCTTCCGTCGCTGAAACAAGAGTAATGTTTTATAAATATCGCTCATGATATAAGGTGTTTTTAATCATACCTAAATCGTACGATGGTTGTAATTACGATTTAAAGATTATAATATTCTTAACAATATATGAATAAAATGTATTTTAGACTATTGTTTACATTTTATATAACAAAGTGCATTGTAAATATCTTTAAACCGAAATTACTGCACTCATAGTGCAATTTAGGCACAGGTACTATTTAAGCAACTTTACTCTGACATCGCTATTTTTTTTTTTACCTCAGACTTAAACATTTCATCTTGATGCACTTCACACGTAGGATATCGATAGCTTTCTGACTTTTGTCCGAAAATCGTAAATTTTCCGGATCCCATCGCAACTCCAGGCGCTCTAAATGGGGGCAACTATTAGCGATTCCGTCCATTAATTGATCAACGTGAATGTTGACGCCTAATCTCTCTTGAGTGCCCATCACGAGTATTCTGAAATAAATATTATTGAAATTTTTAATTCTCAAAAAATGTTAATTATTCTTAAATTTAATTATAACTAAATTTAAATTATAATAATAGAAAAGGAGAGTCTTTAAATAATATAAAAGCCTGAAACTGGCCGTTTTAATCCTGAACTTGAATTCAAGTTAATTTAATAGGATTTTTAATGTAAAATTCATTGCCCTCTTTCTCTATATTATTTGAATTCAAGTATTACATTTAACAGAAAAATATAATTAGGGTGCGGTCCACTTGACGCTCCAAATCTGGTTATTTAGTAGAAATAAATGACGAATTATCTAGTATATGTATGTTATGATTATCCGACAAATTATTATCTGTTGCATCCCTACTTATATAGGATTAGTCTTGAATACTCACTTTGCATTTGTGAGAATTGGTAATACGCTTTGCCAAAGTTGATCGGTAATGTGCGGCATGCCTGACAACGCGAGGCCGTACAACTGATGACCGTGCCTCGATAGAAACTTGTGCAGGGCGTCGTCACTCAAATTATCGGATCTATCTAAGTCCAGTGCTATCAAGTTCCGAGTATTTCCGAGCTCGGTCCAGGCCTTCAGTACGTTATCGTTGAAATTGTTTAGTTGACCGGCACTCAGAAAGCGCAGTCCAGGGATTCTACTCAGCATGTCAATCAGGCATTCCGTTGATAAATCGGTAGCAGTAATGTCGAGCTCTTGAATGCTCGATTTTTCCCATTCAACTTGCATCACATATTCGCTCTGCAGATCTAAAATATTGCAACACTTTTCCTTTCAAATCTGATAAAAAAAATTACATTTGTATTCGAGCTTCGCATACAGAAGATGTTAGTTATTAATCTACTGACGTATAATTTAGACAGCGTAATTGATTTAAACAAAAATTCGTAAAATGACAGATTAAAAAAATTTTAAGTAAAAATTTTTATAAAAAGCAGGTAAATCAAGATGATCATAGATATAGTCGTATCTCACTTGTTCCTTGCATGAGAAGACACGTCAGTCTTCTACTCCTCTGAAAGAGAGTTTTCATGGTCGAACCAGTCACTTTTGAACAATAATTCACGGCTAAACATTCTAATTGTATACAATTAGAGGAGAAAGCGTCGATATGCGAATCATCCACAAAGTTAATTCCATATAAATTGATGACCCTCAAATTTGGTGTCGCCGATTTTAACTTGTGTACGTTGATCACTTCGTAAATTTCTTCTTCTTCTTCTTCGACTTTCTCATATGTCCCTAAAGAATAATAGATGAAGTAATTATAAAAATGCTTTTAATATTATAATAAATATATAATATAATAATATTTTTACAGAGTGAATCACCCAAAACAAAACACCTGAATGTTTTAAAACTGAAATCCAATGGGTAAATATATTTCAAACAAAAATTGTATGGCTTTAGGGGGGATAAATAATGATAAAATTAATTTTTTAAGGTCATATAAAGACCACTCCTTCTTTTTTTAAATGGTTGTGTGACTATATAATTTTTGTTTGATACATTTTTGAGACTACCGATTTTAATTTTCTAAATATTCCGGTATTTTGTTTTAGGTGCCTCATCTCATATAAATATAATGAAAATCTATTTGTTTAAATATATCAGATTTAATAATAATCAAATTTACAACAAATATATGTATGAGATAATACAAAAATATTAATTTAATTAATTACCGATTAAATGAAGGATTTCTAGACCATTGATGAAATTATAAATTTTCCTCATAAAGCCTTCCATGAAGATCACCTCCGATAAACAAATACACATGTATTTCAATTTCGTAGGAAACGCTTGCATTTCAGAGAAGTCGTGCAGTTGCATCGCAGTCGAAAAGTCAAGTAACATGTGTGTTAGATTTGGACATTTATTAGCTAATTCGTGAAGAACAGTATGAGTGATCAGTTCGATCGGTAATTCGATGTATCTCAATGAAGGTCCAAAGCGTACGCTGGAAATATTAAGTCATCGTTGTTTTATAATACCGTAATTCCGTGGTTAAAATAAGAATGAGCTTTGTTCTTTCGTGTCTCTTTAAACACTAATATATCTCAAATAAATACTTTCGCGACTTCGATTTTAGTTTCAATAACAAGATCTTGAGATAATTCGCCATCATTGCGATAAGTGCCAAATGTTTGTCTAAAATTATTTCTGTGATTATCGTACACTAAACAGCTAAGAGACACTCGAGAAGCGCGAGGATTATGTTGCATTACATTTTTCTCTTACCTGACTAAATGTAACAGATTTTCGAGGGAGCTCACATGGAGCCCACTCACTTCGGGTCTGAGGGACACGTGCTTCCAGAGACGCGTATCGTACGCGATTTGTCGCCAGCGTTTGCAAACGCGAGCAACTCGGCAAATCTCGCGGTGCGAAAGGTAGCAAAAGACATTCAGAAGAACTTTGTCCGGCAATTTTTCTATCGTCTGTATAGAGGAAAGACATTTTATTTATATCTACAAAAATCAACGGCGTACTATTGATTGTGCTATCTTTTATTCAGGAAATTGGAAAACGGAAATCCCTTAAAGAAATTTAAAAATACTGTAATTATTGATACTATTTTATATTAAAATATGTTACTTATTTATTTTGGATATTAGCAATACCTTTAATATTCAAAATAAATTAATAATCAAAATAAATAATTAACTACTAATTAATTCAATACTCACAGTATTTAATTTCTCTAATATGTTCAAGTATCAGATTAGAAAATAAAATTGAATTTAACCAACTTGAAGAAAATCAGTATCAAATTCAATCTCAATCTCATTTCCTAATTTAATATGGACATAAGGAATGACATCGATCAAATATCTTTACGAATTAAATCAATTTAGGCAATTTTGTATCCGTGTTTTTCTGTGCGTTATCAATATGTAACATTTGGCGCAATTTCGAAGTGAATTACATGTGTAATGTAAAATACACTATTCGTCGAATTTGCCCTTCTTGTTAAATCAGGCTATATTTATTAATTTTAGACATCGATTTTGACTTTTCTTTCTATAGAATTTTCATACAAACGTATATATCGAGTAATTTAATAATGTTCAATACTGTGTGTTAATTTAATTTTCTCGATAAAGATTCTATAAAACCTGACGTGTGAAGTGGATTTAGATAGTCGTGCGAAAAATAGACGATCGAACAAACGATCGTATTACATCGGTGTTAAATAAATCAACTTACGGTACGACTTTTAGCGGCGCCGCCTTCAGAAACGTACATCTGAGACGTTTCTAAGGCGATCTGACCCCAAACGTCTACACCACCGAGATCCATAATGCTGCTTCTTTTAACGATAGATCAAAATGAAGAAGGCTTTCGTAATAATTTTCTTCACGTATATACGATCTATTTTCTCTCTTCGATAAATTAGATATTTAAATATTTATTTTTCGGTTTTATTACTATTTTATTTCGTAAGGTCACTTTTACTTTTTTGCTGTTAAACGTCACCATACAATTGCAGCTTATTTTGTCATAATTTTCGCATAACAAGAATTCTCAATTCGTGCACTTTAATGTTTTTAAACGTGAACGAAAATTTAACAAGCAGGAGATATTAGTAACTGTTTGCAGTTACACGATTTGTTACGCGATTTGCAGTTACGCGATTTGTTGGAATCACGACACAACAGACAGAATTCGGGGAAGCTTGAACTACAAGTCTTCAGCAGTTTTAATCGGATCGCGCTTGCGCGTCGCCCTAAATATAAGACTTGGAAGGCTTGCTTGCACTTTATTTTAAACCCCACTGCTATCCACATCTACTCGTAATACTATAAGTCTTACATTTTTTATGAAATTTATTTTTTGATACAAAATCAAACTAGAAATGACCATTTTATTCTCAATCGCCACACATGATTGAAATTTTAAATACATATATATTTCGATTATCAGTGAAAAAATTAAATTTACAATACTTTTGATGTATTTTGTAGTACGGTTGGTATCTATACATATAATATAATTATATAATATCGTACATATAACTTATTAATAAATAATTTTATTTATATTATAAATAATTCGTAATTATTTTTTCATAAATACATACGTTATTTTAATTATTATACACATAGAATATATCTATAGATATATTCCAGTTATTTTTGGAAATTTTGTAATATTTACACTTGTTATACTCTTGGCATGCTCACAAAAACTAATACCATTTGGAAGAAACAAATTGGCAATAAATTTTGTATTATTATTTAACATTGACATAGCAAATAAATACACACACAATATATTATACATACATATAACTTAGAATATGTAATATGAGTAGAAAAACATTATTTCACTTCTATAATTATTAATTTTTTATTACTATCCTTTACTTAATACATCTACAATATACCTACACAATAATACTGTTCCATAATCCGTGTGTATACAATTTTTGGAAATTAGAAACACTCAAACACGTTACCTCACTTCTGTGTCACGTATGGTACATCACGCGTATGGTATTACGGTGCATCCAATGTACGCCATATGACCCGTATATAATTCCATATTAACACACCATTATGTCTCTAATGTGTGCACAAATTTACTTTAGATAATATAAAATTTTACAGATCATCAATATTTACATAAACACTTTATTAAAGTGACAAGAAAAGGTTGTTTAGTATAACATAAATATATATTGCGGTTGTAAAATACAGAATTTTATTATTGCTTTTCTTTATGCAGATGTATTAAAGAAATTGTAGCGGACAGCGAACGCATTAAACATTTTTTAGCAACTATCAGCTAAAAATATCTAATACTATTGCACAACAATTCATTACATGATAACATTTCTGTAAAAAGTTATTGACTATACCCCATGGTTTCATTATGTTCTTGTAGGTTCTCTTGTGGGTGATATTATACATAATTTTTTCAACGCTAAATTATTCGCAAAGCGAATCCTTCCGTGTACGATTGGCACGATTTCAATGCACACTTAATGAATCACCAGCAACAGGTTACATCGTCTGTCGCGTAATTAAGGTGCACAAGTCTCGTGTTGACCAACGGAGTTAGTGACTTATGATACTAATTACACACCTAGAAAGCTGAACAACCTCTAATCGGAGCATCAAACTATAGTAGTAGAATCTATATTCATTAATGATTAGTTTGTTATCAAGGAAGCTTAATACAGATCACTGTCTTTAATTATTTATTCATCAAGTTGTAAAATAAAAATAATGCAAAAAAATACTGAATGAAAACTAATCAAAAGAAAACTTGATGACATTTTCTACGTTATACAATACAATATTATCGTAATAATGGATTAGATTTTTGAAACATATTATATATAATAAAACATCTTGTTCTTCACACATCACATGCGCACGCGCACATACGCACGCAATTATTATAAAGGCTATATATGTGTGCGTATAATTATTTTATGTTTTATCTGAAACGATCAAAACTGCCGCAAGTAGTGGTACATTAATACCAGAAAGACAGGATTTGACGACGCCCTTATAAGGATCGTAAAGCAACTAATTTCGATGATTCATACAATGAAAAATTTGTAATTTTAGAACGTATCATAGTACTATAAAGTACTTTTGTGTAAAAGATTGCACGTATAAGTGACAACGATTTTGTCATGAAAACAGAGAAGAAAATTTATATATAGATATCTTTTATGAAAGTATTACAAATTGTTTAAGATTTAACATGTTGCTTTTTTGATCGTATAATGGATTCAAATGATCAAAATTACCGTCGGTTTTCCTCGATGTGTCGTGCTAAATTCTTCCTTGGATATTGCGCTGACATGCTCCACGGCTAATTGCGTCCAAGTAGTCATTGTTAAAACTTAAATAATTTTACTGAAAACTGTACTAAGATATGAAAAACTAAAAAATTTCAAATACGTTCGCGTTTGTGTTCCTCAGTGAAATGCACCGATGATCCATGTATAAGAGAACCGAAAATCGATTTCGACTGATCGAGCGGATCGGCGTTTGACCGTTCTAACAGAGTCAGCAGTTGCGACTGAGTTAATTAGTTATAAATAAAGGCAAGCAAACAGGCAGGTAGGCATCAGGCCAGAATGGGAAGACCTATTGACATTCCCCGACGGCATTGATGTGACAGCTCGCTACGTGGAAAAGAAACGCGAGAAAACGCGACGTATTAGCTACGCGTCGTGAAATTTCTCATTCGGCTGAATCAGTTTGCCAGACAGTGATTCAGATGCTCGTGAATGACTCCGCGTTATAGATATAAAAAGAGATTTGTATATCACGCATACATAAAAAAAATTATTTGTCAAATTATTGTGATATCTAAAAATTTAACTATATTTGTATAATATAGATATACGACATAAAAGTAATTATATTGGCCATCAAAATAATTATGTCAAGACTGTTAAACTGAAATGTCTACATAATTATTTGTCGTATTTAGTCTAATAAATTTTCTGTATCTAGTCTAATAATAAGATTATTTTCAGTTCTATATTTACTGAAAAAGAGTCTGATTGCATTAATTAGAATTCTAGTTAAAAATAGTAAAATCAGAATTTTTTAGTTATAAATCTATTTTAATTCTAATTGGTTACATCTATTATAATATTCTAATTGGTTATATTTATTATAATTCTAATTGAGAAACAAGAATTCTGATTGATATGATTAGAACCTTCTGATTCATTCATTTTCAACTAGAAACTTTCTTTAGTCTGTACAGCTAATTAATTATTAGATATTTCAATAAAAACCATTTATTTTCGTGTACTTGCAATCCGCAGTCTCGAGTAAGTGTGAAATAAAAAAGTCCATAACCTTTAATTATTTAAATTGAATTAATTGTAAATTATTTCCGATTCTATAAAGTTACATATGCAACTATTTCCTCGATTTTTTCTCTTTTCCAATCGAACGAGACAGATGTTGCGAAAACAAATTCACTTACCGTATTAGGACGCCTTATTATTTTCTCTGGGTCATCTCCCTCGAAGACGTTCAGTTGTTGCAGCGCAGCTTCCACGCTGAGCACATTCCAATTCGACATTCTTCGCATGTCCATGACGACGAGATAGAGACGAGACAATTGATTAGAAAAGAATCGCGAGGTACGAGTTGCGAGAGAAAACGGATAAGCAATGAGCAATTCTCACACTGTTATTTTGTAAGCCATCTAGCAATGACAAACGTATAAAGATGTTTGTCAATGCTTTATTAATTATGCAAAGGGAATTTAAAACGGAACATAAAACGACATCACAGTTTTTTCGCACTTGTTATAAAACTCCCCGCGACACTTGAGACATCGGAACGTAAACCCATGGACTGAATTGCAGCTTTTTGCAAGGATTTCATGTATATATTATTTATGAATTGTGTGTGCGTATTAAGGTCTGAAAAACGCACGTTCTCGATTCTCGAGCACGATTTTTTCTTTTCACTCTCGCGAGGCACGGTAACTTATTCGCCAGGTTTTCACAATCGCAGAACTATTGTGTCGCGAGCACCGTCAGGAAGCCTCGGTAGATTTGATAAAATATAATCTTGATATTTGATCCAATTCTGACGTTTTCGTGCATCTAGCTTATTAGTCGAGAACGGGCGTGGTTTAATAGACGAAAAGTAGCGTACTCAGTCATCTCGTCGTGATGTTCGTGTAGACGTCCGTCTGCGTTCTGCGAGTTGGAGGAGAAAAATTTTGTAACTAAAATTATCGCGTGTTTCCCGCCGCTTCCTCAAAATAGACCCACTGGAGTGCTCCGCGAGCACAAGCACCTCTCGTGCGAGCGAATCATTCGAGCGAGAAGAGACACCAATGTACATTTTTTATGTGCAGTCCGCCAAGAAAACAGATGTTTGTTCTGTACATACATCATGAACATGAAACAATGGACCGCTCGTATGCGCTCCTTCCATATAAAACATTCGTTGTAATTTTTATCAAAAGCTGTAGTTATAGCTTTCTCATATATCATGTATAACTAGTTACGATACAGATATCTTTAAATATGCAATCACGTTTAAAATTCAAATATATATCTATAAGCTTTTAATATTTTCGAAGCTATTAAATGGGAACAATACAAAAATAAATAACTCAAAGGAATAAAATAAAATTGTGGAAAGAAAAAAATTGTTTATTTAAATAAATCGGTTATTGTTATCATGCAGATAATTAAATGTTAAACAAATATGTCTAGTATTTAGAAATATATATTGTGACTATGATAAACATACTTCAATTATCTGCGCCAAAACGTGAGATTGTGTGACTCATAGCTTATGACTTATATAATATACATACATTGTTATTCTATGACAGAGAGATAAAAGAAACACATTTTTTCCGTTTTTACATAGCCAATTACACGATATATATATGTATATATATAAAATTTATCGACAAAATTATTTTATTCTTTAGCTAATATTTTTCAAGACTTCAGACATTTTCTTATTCTTTATATTTTCTCTGTCCAGTTTGGAAATTACTCTTATGGAAGAATTATGTACTTCGTATTTAAGTGATTAATTTTTAAATTCACAGAAGTTATGGAAAATTCTTTTAACAAATTTTGTTAAAAGCTTTCTTCTCTCGAGATCGTGAGATTTGTACGAAGGCCATGTATTAGGTATCACAAACGAATTTCCCGTTGACCGAAATCCAAGCGGAAATCCCTTGGCATTTTGCCACGCTAACTCTTGATTAATTAAGGCCGATCTAGTGAGTACTAAGTATAACGCACAACGATCGAGATATGTACTTATAAACGTTTCGATCTAATAGCGTATTAAAAATGACTCTCGCTTTTCTGTCTAAATTATTAATGCATCATCAAGATCTTTTAATTGTTTGAGGATCCGCCAAATTACAGTATCATGTCTTGAACTCACTAATGTCTAGCACTCACGTTGTGACTCAATTCTGATACACTGAGGATAAACTTATCAAATATTGTATCGAATTGCTGAAGAGGACTCGAAATTGAGTTGAAACGTTCAATCAGCTGTTGACCTCAAGATCCACAATAAAAAAATTTGTTTAACGTAAGTATTTATACTATTTTTGGTGCGCAATGTTAACTGCGCTGTATACAAACTGTACTCTCATTAGCTTTGTTTGATTGTTCCTTTTTAAACTCAGGCTCCACTCTTTGAAACCCATTTCCTGCCCCTGTCAGGGAATGCAGAACACTCAACTGCAACAGCGAGAACTGAGATAACTGTCGCTCTCATTTAAGCGCGTCGTCTTTTTGATCGCTTGTTTTATCATCACTTCTACTCTCTTATTGCTTATTGTTGCGAGTGTTATTACATATTATTACAAGTAGATAATATTGGCTACCGCACACTCTTCATTACAACATATCTATACATTAATGAAAACCGATGAAAACCGATGAACTGAAAAACAATTTCAGACTGCAGTAACTGTTTTATGATATAATTCAAGAATAAAATATTTTTCATTCGATCTTTAATTATCTGTTTTTGTCTTATTTTGAAATATCAATTTTGCACGTAATGAGCTATAAAAAGATATGCTTTCTGTTGAGAGGTACAACTTGACGAAGTTACAGATTCTGGTGGGGTCCGATGAGGAAGGTAACTATAAATAGGTATGGATACACGGATATTACGAGGAAACTCTTAGGAGAATATCGATTATAAATATTGATTAGACTTCCATATAGATTCTAATACAGTTATTATTAAGAAGAATGTCTACTGGACTGTTCATGTGGACTTTACGGATAGTCCATATGTGACAGGAACATCAATTCTACGTACTCATTTCTGTTTTTATGAAATAGTCAATATTTTCCTTTTAGCAACTATGTTAGAAAATATTTTTTTCCTTAAAATCAGATATGAAATCGAGGCTCGTAATCGTACTATTTCGAAATCAAAATATTTATTGATCATACTGCTGTAGACATAAATGTCTATGCAAATTATCTCATTTGATAAAACGCTAAAATCACAATTTAAAACTTTATCACATTTGTACTCTTTTTTTTTATACATTTAAACATTATCAAGCATCGTCTACGTAATATAGATTATCTCTAAACGTTTGATATAAATAAGGAAAAGCTTTCATCGGATTTCTCAGCGAAAATTGTTCTTACAGAAAACGCCGATTGCAAAACAATTATATGTATATCGAATTATCGATTGCGCGATAGTAGTCGCGGTATCTTACGTTGTCTCTTCACTGTGCGATATATTCCGAGGAAGTTTTAAAACATCGCGCATTTAGACAATAAGATGTTACATAAATCTTAGTGCTATCAAATCGACTATGAAAGCCGATAAACATTATACCGGATGTGCGACTTTGTATTGCGATGTCTGTTGACGAAAAGTCTACGTCTAATTATAAAGACTCGCGTTTGATCACGCGAATTTAGCATACATACTCATAGTTCGCAACTAACTACGCGTCTCTTTTTCCTCACTATTTGCGGCTATATATGGAACGAATGGAACGCGAAGTACAATAGATAAGATTAGCAAATTGCTATGAGAAGCGACGATACATTCCATTATCGGAATGGAAAGTAATTATGCGATAACTCTGCAATAATTCCATAACTCTGAAATCAAAGAAATTGATTGAAGATTAATTAGATAACACACGTTACAACATGATAATGAAAAATATTATTACAAAAAATGTACTAGAAATCAGGTTTTTTTTTCTCGTGTTTTAATTTTATCGCACATGACAAAATTTTGCTGTATAAACATTGATTCATTCCCAATAAGCAGCACACGATATCCTATGTGCATCCAGTCAATATCCAAAGAACATCCTCAAAGATGGGGACATCTTATTAACGACTTTAAGATACCTTTTGAAAGTCTACTCTATCTATAGGCTATAAATCAATATTTAAGCAGAATTCTAAAGAATCTGTGAAATCTATTATATAAACAGATTTGTTTGAAAATCTCGAGGAAAATCTCAAATGCGATGTATTTTATATTATATTGTAGACTGGTGTTATCTAAACATATGTTTTTATCAGCTAGTATTAATGAAGTGCAATAATTAATTTCCGAGAAATAAGGGGATATCTGTTTAAAAGACCTACGTTGGTTAATATCGGCGACTTTCCTCTATATTTAAAAAAAAAATTCTTATTTTAAGGACCTTTTAATGAGTTTTTCTCTCAAATTTGTAACAAGTATACTCAAAAATTATTATCAAGAAAATGTTGTTTGTTAAAGATAAAAGAAATAAATTGTGTGATCTCATTAATTTCTTACGATTAGTACAATAATAGAATATTTTTCTGCTGTGTGTACTGTACACACTCGATCTTCCTGTTTCTGAGTACGACTTGGAGGAGGAGACAAAAGATCGAGCTGCATTTATATTAGTTCGACATCGGAGAAACTTGAAGGTTGTGATTGAAGGATGAAAAAGATCGAATGCGTCTTCGTTCGAAAAGCAGCGCCTCTATCGAGCTCGAACGAACGTTCCACGCAATTCGCATCTTCCACCGCGCATCCTCCTCGCTCTTTCTCCTTCTCCCTCCCCTCCCTCCCTCCCTTTCCCCCCCACCTCCACCGTTCTCTCTTTCTCTCTCGCTCGACCGTATCGCCCTCTCCGTTACTCCGCTCTCATAGTATAAGTGTGTATCTAACCGACACCGTTGACCGTTGTTCTCTCTCGCTTTAGCAGGCTATAAAAGGGGCCGTCTACGGCGCAACGCGCGTCAGTTGTTCGACGTAAGTCAGACGTAGGGTGTCATAGTACACACTACAATCACGCAGTGGTGTTCTGTCGTGTTAATAAACGCGCAGCAGAAGCGAGCCTAATCGAGGCACGGAAGCGGCCGAGTGCGGGGGACGCGACGCGCGTCTCCGAGATCGCGATCGTGCGTTTAATCGCCACGGCGTCGGCGGTGCTTTTGTCCGCGGCTCGGCACGACGGTATGAAATAACGACGGACCGGAAAGAACCATCGAGGCGGCAGGCAGCGGCGACGTCCTGATTCGAAGCGTCCGTGCTCAGTCCTCAGTGTAGGCTAGTCGGTCGCTCGGCGGTCGTTGTCTTAACGTCGATTCATCTACGACGAGATTCCCGTTCAGCCAGCAGATGAGCGGTGTGGAACCAACAGTAGTTAGAACAATTCTGAAGACGACGAGGGTTTGAAGAAGAGAGAGAGAGAGAGAAAAAAAAAAACAAAAACACGACTCTGACGAATGCTCTTCCACTTGTCATCGCGGACCTGTAGGCTTTATAATTTGATGCGTCATCGACGCGACGATAACATCGTCTTCCTCGAGGCGAAAGGTGTTCCTTCGGTGAACGAGGAGGTTATCTCCTGGTAACCACTTGGAGAGATCGTCCTTCGGTTCATCGTCTGTCTGACGTCGTCCACGTGCGCGCTTTCATCACGAGAAGCTATTTCCGTCCGGGCTAGGCGTTGACATCCGACGTTTATTATTATTATTGACGTTATTCTGGCACGAGCTCTTCCAAGGAACGTCGAGCATTTTGACAGAATACGACAACAAATATGGCCGCCATGGCGTCGTACGCGTTGTGCACTCACAACTGTACGGACGCGGAATATCCGTCGATCCTTGGTGGCATCGACGAATGGTTGCCTTGGCACGAGATCGTGGGATATTTCTCGTACAATCCGTGGATATTCTCCCTGCTGGGCAGCACCATGGTCGGCCTCACGGGTATCTTCCCCCTATGGCTCATCCCTATCCAGGACGGTGTGGATTTGAAAACTGGCGGTTAGTTTTCTTTTCTGCAACTTATTGTCTTAAGCCGGAATCATGGGCCTTCTACAATAAGCCATAAGTTATATAAGCTAGAAATGGACCAGTCGTCAATTTTTAGTCAATTTCTTACTTCTGATTTATGACTTATGGCTTATTGTAGAAGGCCTATCAGACTGTATGTATTGCAGATTGAAATAATATCGAATGGTTAAAGGCTCAAATTTTCATAACAGGTAATTGGGAAATGATAATTTTAATGAGCCAATACAGATATAAATGCGCAAATAATAATTTATTATAATGTCATTGTACAACAAATTTAAATTTACGTAAATATTTCGGTCTTCTTCGATACAAAAAAGATTAGTAAAATTTGGATTAAAATTGCACCAATGAAGACAGAGGAATTTTGGCTCCTTTTGTTTTGATTGGTCAAACATCGATCTTTCAATCTCGTTCTCCAATGTGTAGTCTGATGCCAGCCGTAGACTGCTGTTTTATTTGTGCATTTTTTGTCGTCTGACAAATTTTTCAGGTCTGTTGATTACCTATAGGACGAAGAGATCCTCGGATCTTTATCGGATTTATACAAAATATTATCAAGTATCAAGATCCACTTTGATCGAATAAGGCTCTGTTGGCTTGTTTGTAGAATTTCATATCTCTTCCATTTAAATAATTATTCTTGAATGTGTATAACGAAATGAAGAAATGAATATTAAGTTTAATTTTCTGGCTGTAGCCAAGTGAAGTTTTTATTTTTTAATAAAATTTTAGTAGATTTGTCTTAATTGCGATTTCTCTTGCTTTGCATTTCAATTTTAAATAAATGCATAATAATTCTTAATATGCTATTCCGACTTTATTATCCATGGCAAAACTAAATTTTAAGAAGTCTTAATATATTTATTTTAGTGGCGCAGAGATTAATATTTCGTATATCGTAAGAAATTTATCGAATATCGGATGTAATGGAAAAAAAAATAAGGATTTTAGTCGGTGAGCTGTTTTCGTGGAAAACTTGAAGAGTTGAATTATATGGCTACAAACTTAATGATTTCGTGTAAAATGTGTAATTGCCTGTACATACACGAGGTGTTCGGATGTAGATAGGTAGTACTTTTTTTATTAAGATACTTATCAATATACACAAACTTCACAACATCAATATCTAACACTTGTTTTTCCTGATAGAACGAAACTCGTCCTACTCATAAATACAAGAGTAGGCTACACATTCCTATGAGGTTGTCACTACCGGTTTAGAAAGAATGAGATAGATTGAACCGCTTTCCTTTTCTCTAAAATATCGAGTTGAAGAGAGATATTGAGATATGATTCAATTTTTCCTAACGAAAACGATGCTAAGAGTGAAACGGCACAGTTTGTGCCTGTTATCTATTACGTCTGTGGTTGTATCAATGAATTGCTTTGTACATATACAAAATAATGTGTAAGTTCAAAAATTCTCGATATAGATATTAATTTTTCGTCTCAATTTCTTTTTTTGATAAAATTGGTAGGGTCAAAAACCGAGTAACGCTATACACAATGAAATTGAATAATATTACACCCAATAAAGCTGAAGAATTATACACACAATGCGCTGCACGCACAAACGATCGTTGCAGTGGTTCTCGCTTATTTATACAGTCGGAATAGGATGGCACGTGTTTAGTGATATCGTTCTTATTTTTCCGAGCATTGTAGATCAATAATTATGTGATAATACGTACTTGTTAATAACACGGGATAATCTGGATAAAAAGTGTTAGCCTTTGATTCATATATAGTTCATGCTATCCCACGCGATAAATTTGTGGTTGAAATTGTGAAATTTAATTAGCTTGGCTTTGAAAATCTTGCAGAACAGAGAAATTTCCAAATTTCTTATCGCATTGTTCTGTAACGCTTTCAGAATAAATTGGATTTTAATCTAACTTTGACCGGTTTCTATTCTTAGTTTGTTGTCTTCTTTTCAAAATCTGAAATGACAAATATTAATAGTTTTTCATACCTTCTAGTATTTTCATATTTCAAACTAACACTAAAACTGAAATGTTATTATTAACACGTCTAATGACCTCTGTGATATTGAGGATAAATAACTTCAAATAAAGCATAATATAATTTAGCGTATATAATTTAGCAATCAAATCCTTGTAGCTTTGCGTTCAAAATATTGCAGTCGTTTCTGTTTATGAAACTAATAATATTACAATAAGATAATTTATAGAATTAACGAAACTTAATAATGGATTAGACATCAAAGAAACAAGAGGGAATAAATTAAATTATTGTTCGTCTATATATTATAATTGATTTCTTTATTGTAATAATAAATCCGTTATTAAACTCGATTTTTTTTTCTTATCTTCGCATTGTAGAAAGTAGTTATTTATCAATGTAACTATTCTATTATAATAAAAACGAGTTGCAAAATCGGACCGATTATTGAAGTTTTCCTTATCGAACAACGAGCTTTATAAACGCAATTAAAAATAGAATGGGGCTTTAAATACATTGTTTACAAAATACAGGCGAAATTTCATTTTTTTAATATTCATTATGTCAATGTATAAGTAAACGCATTCAAATAGAGTTCTTTTCGCAAACATACTGCTTAACACGTTAATTAGACATATGTGAAGGCTACGTATGTTACATTTCATTATATGACATCATATACTCTTAAATATTATTAACTTCTAGCTCGATATTACAAAATAAAATTGACAAATCAGAAAGGTCAATAAATACGCAATTTTTACTTGGATCTTTAAAAAAACGTAACTATTAATTATGTTATAAATAAGATAAAATAAAATATCTTTTACGTTCTATCTCGTTCCCACCACTCTTAACCTCTAAATTCTTATCTGAAGTCGAATGCAACACTTCATTGAAAAGTCTTTTTAATCTGATATTAATGTTTTTGAAGATTTATTCCAACGGATATTCATTCTCCAAGAGCATTTTTATAACAAATTCCAAAAAAGTTTTCAATGTGGAATTCTTGATCAGATAAGCCTACTACTCTTGCTGTATCTACTAAATTATAAATAATACCAATTTTTTATAGCATAGTATGGATAGTTTGAGTGAAATGACAAGCATCTATCTCATGTCTTTTTTTTTGGAACCATTGTTTGTTGACTTTTCTGATTTATTAATCACATACTTGTTTCATGCTGGCAAGTAGAATGACGGAAAATGTCGGAAAAGATAAATAAGTTAATCGCGACATTATCTCATAAACAGGAAATAGCTTCTGATTACAAAATTGTAAGCTATTTAATTTGTTCACATAAGAAACATTGCAAGTAAAACATAAAAATGGGCTTTATATATGTACAGACGTGCATTTGCAGCAAATTTTGTTGCACGCAATTAGATATTCAATAATGAATGCATACTTAACTACTAGTTTAAAAGTGATCGGTATCGCCACGTGTTGAATTTTAATTATGCACAAAGCAACGGAAAGTCTGTTGTCGACGATATCTGCAGATAGCTGCCAACAAAACAAAGCATATAACGTTTTCACTTGCGAAATAATGGGAAATTCGATGAATATAACGCTCTTCATTTGTGTTTATCATTCTGATAAGTAACAGTCGTGAGGTTCAACGACATTGCGAAAGACTTCGACTCCTCTCGCCCGTCTTGATAAAATTAGTCGTAGCATGTGGTATAAAATCGATAAGTTAATTCCGTTCGATGAATTATCATACAATGTTTATTGTACGATTTGAATACCAGCATATAATATTGTATTAATAGCGAAAAATAATTTTGTATACATTATTTTAATATAGCATACAGTTTTTAATATCTCTTTTTAGAACCTTCCGCAATATGTTTAGAAAAGCGACGAATATTTCAAAGTTCCAACAACTTATACAAAAACGAACGCTACATTGATGACATAAAGCGACAGAACTGAACAGAGCACTGCGCGTTTTAGTATTTGTCTGTAAACTCTTCACGAGAAGAATGTACTTATTTTTTTCGTTCTTTAAATTATTTTATTATAATGAATCAACGCAAGCATACTGTAAATATACGATAACGTACTTCAAGTTGTAACGTCGTAAATTTGAAATTTAGTTATACATATTTGTTTGAAAATTTGGACTACTATATTTTGATACAGTTATTCGTTCAGAGAATTTCTCTCAGTTGAAGGTGAATCCGAAAAATAGCCATCGCACAAAGCTTTTATACTGTTACAGTTGGACGGAAAAAAGAGGAAACTGTTTCGTACATGTATTTACGTTACATCTTCCGCGATAGCTTTAGAAAAGTGAAAAACATCTTTTCAAAGCTACAGTCTGTTTATACAAAAATGTATGCTAGCAACATTGACGTAAAAAATTTCGAGCTTCTACATCGTGTCGAATCGCATCTATCAACAAGACCAGTAGGTAGGTATCTGAATAATGTTTCACGAAAATACATCCGATATTCTCGCCAAAATTCCATTCGTGTCGGTAGCATTTCACGAATTTGTGGGTGCGATTCTAGTATAGTAACAATCTATCCTGTTCTCGATCTAACTATCGCTAACTTTAATTAACTTTCGAACGAGAATTACGCACGCCGATACGACAACGCGAAATGTCCGTTTCGCATCCGTTAGTTTTTCCTCTTCGCGGAGATAAATGACACATTGTTTTCTCATAATCGAGACGATGAGTTGTTCCCATTATTCGCTGAGACGCCCAAGTTGATCGTACAACATAATAGCGAATTTATTGAGAGTGAGTGATTTTAATTGGCTAGATAAACATGTGTTTCTAACGCCAATAAAATTAAGGAATCGCAATTGAAAATTGCAAAAACTCTTAGTTTGAGTTTTAGCGTGTCAAACGTTAAAGATACATACTTGTTAAAAAAACTCTTGTAGCATTATCCAGAACTTCTAACAAAATACTGAAAATCCGAAATAAAGATGTATACTTATATGATTATACTCGATTATAATTAAAATCAGAATTCAATTAAAAAAT